TATTTTTCCCACTTGCAAATCTTTCTCCTTTTTAAATAAAAAGGCTATTTTTCTTTGTTAAATTTTACTGATGCTCTGAACTCAGTTCATTGTCTCTGTAAAGAGTTGTATAAGGGTTCAAATGCAGGGTGTCTGCAAGTAAGAAGTGTTTTTGCCCACTGGTTCAGCTCTTGGTGCTTATGACTATAATCTAATTCCCTTCAGTTAGGTTGTGGTGAAAAGTTTATGTAGACAGGAAAAAGTGTGGTTTATCCATATAAAACCAGCCAAGGAAATTAGCTCCAGTTTCTCAATGAAACCATGGAACACTGCAATCAAAAGCCATGATGCAGGCATTAAATAATAAGTGATTTTTTTTTTTTTTCCACAGTAAGTTGGCAGTTAGAACTGGTTTGGAAACTATAGCTGCTTCTGCAGATGAATTTTAATTAAATGGTCATTTTTTCGTTTTTCCTGAAATTTTTATTTGTAAATTTGGGGGGGGGGGCTGCTGAGAAGATAAAACTCAAAAATAGCAAAAAATTAAAAAAAGCTTTCAAAAACCAAACAAACTTTTTTTTTCACTTTAATTCTTTGTTTGTTTGTTCAGTTTTTCAGTTAGAATTGGAAAATTTGACAGAAACTGATGTTTTCCTTTAAAATAAATGATTTTGACAAAAAAAAGGCAATTTTTCCACAGGAAAGGAAGTAACAGGAACATTTGCATTGCCTGTCTTGGCAAAGCACATGATCCTAGAGAACAGCAGCAGCTTTTCTCTTCTTCCTCCTTCTTTCCCACCCTGCCCTCTGAGTAATGCCAGGTGTCTTCTGTGGGTAACTGGTATAACATGTCCTTTGGCTGTATATAGCCATGTATTCTCTCTTCTAGTCTAAGTACAGACAGTCAAAACGCCCGAGGCTGAATCCGTTCAGTCTTCATGAGTTAGTCTGGGCTGTGTACATGGAACTGATAAGCAAGTGAACAGACATTCACTTTTGATTCTGGAGATGCAGCCACCTGCCTGCAGTGGCCCAAGTTAGAAACCAGGGGGCAGGGGGGTGCTGGAGCACATCTCCCTGCTAGGCTGGGGCAGACAACTTGGGCCAAAGCTAACCCACCCACCCTGTGAGGCAGGAGCTTGCAGGGGAGGTGCAAGGCATCCTGGGATGCTGAAGGACTGTGACTTAACTTGAATCTGGAGGGGATCTGGGACAGAAGTTCAATATGCCAATTTAACCTAAATCAGTTAAGTGTGACACTACATCCATCCAGGTGTATCTTGAACAGGTTTCAGCCATTTTGAAAATGGTTCACATGCACTAAACTTCTGTTGTGTTACAGATTTGAACTAGTTTCAAATCACTTATACCAGTTTGTGTAATTTCTGTCCCTACAGCCTTCAAATAATTAGTGCCCTCATATGTCATTTGTGCTGGGTCCTTTCCTGATTTGAATGCCTTTTTAAATCATGCTCCTAGCACATTATATAATGGCATAGAGCCCCTCATGTCTTTAAGTGGCTGTCCACTGCATGGTGTGTTTGTTTTTGTTGGGGGGATTTTTCTGGCTGGTGAAAGCATCTGCTAGAACAATAATGAGTGGCTTAAGCAAGTAGTATTGTTTAAAATTTAGAGTCAACGCAAAATAAAAAGATGCGACAAAACTTGTATTGGCAAGTTGTGTCAGCTCACTGGAGGTAGAAATCTGCTGTAATTCTTTATCTTCTTGGAAGAAGGATCCATATAGCAGCATGTTAGCTTGATAAACAATGCTCTAATTTCCCGAGGTATGTATTCCTTTATGTGATGCTATCATTAAATTTGCCTTTTAAACCTAACCGGAAGTAGGTTTTTTTGTTCTTCAGCTGCAGCACTCCAAGTACTGCATGAATACTCTAAATAAAAAAAGCTGTGTGTCCTGTCATCCAAAGTTGCCTTGCTATTTACCTTAATAATGGATAAATAAGTTAGTTTAATTGTTTGCTTGTAACCTATTTAATAGTCTCTTCCTTCTGATGGTTTAAAAGAGTTGTATCCTGAAACCTATACAAAGGAAGCAGTTGCTGCCTCCAAGTCCTAGATTTGCAGCACAGCTGCTCTGTGACCGTAGCTGCGGTTTCAAGCCTGAACTTTCCCTTGTATCCATTGAGCCCACTTATACAGGGCCCTGAATTAACAAACCCAAACCACACACTCAGCACTATGCCAGGAACACCTACTGCAGCACATGAACAACAGATAAGGGTCAGAGACTTCATCACTGAAATACACTCAGGGCCACATGTGGAGCATAGCATGGGAGTTCAGATTTTGTTTTGGGATAGCATACTTCTTCATTGATTTTGTGTTGTGTATTTAAACAAAGAACTAGACAGGAGTAAATCAGCACAGGAGTGGCTGACGTCAGCTTCCCCAAAGCATATTTAGAAAAAAAACCAGCAGTATATTTAATTAACTACTACCCTTAATAAAGAGAGGAAGCTAATAACACAATTGGCTATTGGGCTAGGAGGTAAGGTCTCGGAGAAAACAAGGGTAAAGATGCATGACATTTGCCTTCTTCACAGATGATGCTTATTCTGATTATTGTGCAGGACTCTCCAGTTAATGTGATTTGATATTAGCTCTTGAGACTTTGGCTTATCAGGAGGACGTTGTTTACTGTTCAGTGAATGCTATTTACAGTTCATTAGCTGGTCCGGGTTACTCAGGGAAGAAATGGGAGCATATTTTGCTGTGTGGCAGCCAGGGCATGACTGAGCGAAGGAGCCCATATAGGGAAAAAGGCAGCAAATTGACCCTAACCTTCAGAACTGCCAGAGAGGCTGTCCCTGGTACCTTACCCTATCAGCGATGCCACCTCCTCTTCTTCATCAATGCTTCCAGTTTCCTTTTCCCATTTGTCCACATCTCCTAGGAGCAATATTATGGTTTCTTCCATGCTGTCACTTATGCAACTACCCACTCCTAGACAAAAAAAGCATAAAACTAGTACCTCCTTCTCCTTCAAATTCTTCCTTGAAATTCCTGTAACTTCTGTCACTGTATATATAGATCACTGCCAACTGAGGACTAGCCAAGTGACAAGCTGTTTCTACTGGTACTGAGCTTTGTTGTCTCCTTTACCTGATGGAAAGCAAAAGGCCAAACAAACCCAAATCCCTATGGGATGGATGCTTCATTTTGCTCAGAACATGAAAGCTGGCACCAGTTGCCCTCTTAGGGAAATCTGCACTTGGACATTGCACCTCTAGTGACCCGCCCAATTTGGCGGCGGAATCTCCGAATCGGGGGACCCTTTAATCTCTCCGAGTTGAATCAGAATTAGAAGCCTCCAAATCAATTAGGAAAGACTGAGATTCAGACATAGACACAGCTTTAAAAGTTTTTTTCTACATACCTCTAGGTAGTAGAGGCTCATGAATGCCGTGATGCTGGGGTGCATGGAGCATCCCACAGAAGCATGGGGGGCTCCTCAGCACACTCAGCAGCAGACCTGGATGTGGACCAGAAGCACTTGTGGTCCACTTCTGGGTCCACTGAGGAAGTGTGCAGGGGGGCTGCCTGAGCCCCCCTGGTTTGGTGACTGGTGCCTCCTGGATGTGGAGGGGGGGGGCATCCAGGGTCCCCCTGTGGCTGATTGCTGAGCCGGGGAGGCATGGTGGGGGAGGCCCAGTGCACTCCCCAACAGACCCAGAAGTGAACTGGAAGTACTTCTGGTTCACTTCCAGGTTTGCCACTGAGCGCATAGAGGGCCCCCCTGCACTCCTGTGGGGTGCTCCATGTGCCCCAGCATCACAGCCATCTTGAGCTGTGCCTGCTACCTCAAGGTATATAGAAACAACTTTTAAAGCTATGTCTATGTCCAAATCACTGATTCTCCAAAATCAGCATTGAATCTTCAGATTTGGATTTGGCTGAATTGAATCACTCTTCCCGATTCGGGCTGAATCCAAATTGAATAAGGCCTGCTTCACACACCCCTAATAGGAGCATGGATGCATCATGGCAATCCTGCACTGACTTAGAGGTCAGCTGCACAGCACTTGTATCTTTAGTTTGTGTCAGAGCTGGCTTTGGGTTTGCAAGGCAGCTGCTACTCATCAGTGTGCAGAACTCCACTCAGAGCAAGAAAGAAACTAGATTTCTTTTTTCATGGTATGTAGATTTGCATTAGTCTACATACTGTGCACCCAGCAAGTCCATGAAGAATCATGTTTGTGCTGCTGTTAATTCGTCTGCTCTTCCCATCTGCCTTCCTTCCAGTCTCCCCAGACCATCCTTTCTAAAATTTACTTGCGAGGCCCTTCAGCTGAAAGATGCAATGCACTTGCCCCCTCTGGATTGGGTGAGGAGGGGACAAACAGTCCATGCTGAGTGGTGGGTTATATCAAGATGATATTTTATTGCTACAATGGGGTATTTACTTGCCTGAGGCTTGTAGTTGCTACAGTAAGAAAAATTAATAACACAACCAATAAATAAAAGTAGAACTTGGCCATATTTAGTGTTGACAGCAAAATGGACCACAACAGAAACAATGCCCCAAGCCAGTGTGGCGATTTAAAGAGACAAGCAGTATACCCTGGAAAGCTCCCAGCCACCAGCAAGTGTTTGAGAGTCTCGTGTGCTACAGCATAGCTACACTCAAGTCAGTGATACAAAATTCCCTTACACTTCAATGGAACTGGGGATAAGCCCCATGTTAGAGATGCACAACGAGAAGCATCTGTTAATAGTCATCGTGCAGTGACTTACTAGCTACCATATAAGTCTTTGGGAGATAAACCACAAAGTATAGTAAAATATAGCCTGATGGAATAAAATGGAGATTTCACCCAAAAAAAAAATGTTTTTGCTAGAATTCCAGGAAAGCTAAGTACTGTGATAAATTTGACTCTGTTGCATATTATCAGTTAAATTTTAAAATGCCCATCTGGAGATAGATACAAAGTGCTTCATGAATTTATATATTTTTGGACATTTATGATACATTTTTCATCTCTTCATAATTTTTTTAGAATAACATTATTAAAAGATGGAGGCCTAAGAATTGCTAACCTAACTAAAGTAGATGCTGGAAGTTACACTTGCCTGGCAGGAAACCAATTTGGAACAGCCAGTGGAACAACAAGCTTAATAGTTACAGGTAAGTGAGGGTTTATATTGTACATTCCTTTTCAAGATGATTTGAAGTGGTGCTGAATTGCACTAAATGCAACTACTCGAATCTGCAGGAAAAAAAAATCAGAAATCCTAGTCTGGACACCAAAGGGCAATGGCTGCCTTTGGAGAACAGGTCTGAGGAGATGCACTCTGCCCTCCCAGAGTGCAAGCAATGGCAGGAGCCACCCCCCGCACCAGCCGTACCTCCATGCCGCACACCCCACCCCCCCTGGCTGCACAGCCCCTGCCCCTTCCCCCCCCCCCCCCACAGCGGGGGCGGAGCTCCCCCCCCCGCCCCCCCCCC